GTGTACTGATGGGTTTTAACTTTTTATTCAATTTGCCTGTCTGTGTCTTTGTTTGGGGCATTCAATCTATTTAAATTTAGGATTAATATTGATATTTGTGAGTTTAATATTGTCATTTAATGCTGGCTGCCTATTTTGCCCATTAGTTGGTATAAATTCTTCATTATGGAGATACTCTTTACCTTTTGGTAAGGTTTTAGGATGACTGATACTGGTTGTTCCTTTCTATGTGTAATGCTTCTTTCAGAAGCTCTTGTAAAGCAAGGCCTGGTGGTGATGAAATCTCTGAGTGCTTGCTTGTTTGTGAAAAATTTTATTTTTCCTTCATTTATGAAGCTTAATTTGGCTAAATATGAGATTCTGGGTTGAAAATCCTTTTCTTTGAGGATATTGAATATTGACCCCCACTCTCTTCTAGTTTGTAGGGTTTCAGCTGAGAAATCTGCTGTAAGTCTGATAGGCTTCCCTTTATGGGTGACCTGACCTTTCTCTCTAGCGGCAGTTAGAATTTTCTCCTTTATTTCAAACCTGGTGAATCTAACGATTATGTGTCTTGGGGTTGCTCTACTTGAGGAATATCTTTGTGGTGTTCTCTGTATTACCTGGAGTTAAGTATTGTCCTGCCTTACTAGATTAGGAAAGTTTTCCTGAAGAATATTTTCCAACTTGGATTCATTCTCTTCCTGGCATTCAGGTACACCTATAAAACATAGTTAGGTCTTTTCACATAGTCCCATATTTCTTGGAGAATTTGCTCATTCCTTTTTACTCCTTATTCTCTGATCTTGTCTTCTTGTTTCATTTCATTGTTGGTCTTCGACCTCTGCTATCCTTTCTTCTGCTTGATCAATTCGGCTGTTAAAACCTGTGCATACTTCGCAGAGTTCTTGCATTGTATTCTTCAGTTTCATTAATTCACTTATATTCCTCTCTAAATTGTCTATTCTCATTATGATTTCATCAAACCTTTTTTCAAGATTCTTGGTTTCTTTATGTCGGGCTAGAACATGTTCTTTTAACTCAGAAGTTTCTTATTATCCACCTTCTGAAGTCTAAATCTGTTAATGGAATGCACTCGTTCTCCATCAGGCCTTGTTCCCTTGTTGATGAGGAACTGTGATCCCCTGTAGAGGGAGAGGCATTCTGATTTTGGGTATTCTCAGTCTTTTTACGCTGGTTTCTTCCCATCATTGTAAAGTTATCCACCTGTCGTCTTTGTAATTACCAACTTTCAAATTAGACCTCAGAGTGGACGTCCAACTTGTTGATTCCCAGCGCCAAAATCTTAGCAACCCCCTGCACCAGCTAAAACAGTGGCATTAAGCTTCATGGTGCTTTTCTGCCTGGGAATCTCTGGTCTGGCTTCCCCCCTGACTCCCTCCCTCAATCAGCTGAATGGGTGACTCTGCCTTCCCAGAGCTCCAAACGTCGACCAAAAGGGGACCCAGTCCTATCTACTCTTCACCAAGAACCACCGTGCCGAGATGCCAGCAAAACCATCGTACCAGCCACAGGAGTCATGCTCGCGACCCATGGGGCTCCTCTGCTGGGAATCTCCTGGTCCGTGAGCAACAAAAATCAAACTGAAAATGTGGCATCCTCTCATTCTCTGCGCTTTCACTGGGAGCTACAATCCCGAGCTGCTAGTAATCGGTCATCTTCTAAAGGATGTTAATAATACAGTTTATGAGATGGCTCAGTTTATTACCCTACTGACTCCATCTAACAAGAAATTAAAGCTTGTTACTTTTAGAGGCAGAACTGTATAGTGGTCAGGAGGCTGAGTTTTGGAGAAAGGGTACTGAGTTTACATTTCAGCAATGCCATTCAATTTTCTACTGTGTGCTTAATCAGTACTAGTATTTATGTACTCTCAAATTTAAAAAGAATAGTCAAGCATGTATTCATTTCACCCAATCTCCAATCACCAACTTATCAGTATTTTAATTATCTGCTGAACAACCTCAAGAGAATAAAATCACAATTCTCACTACATAGAAATTTTATTTGTGAGAAAACTACAATCTAAAATGCTATTATTATGCAAATATAGAGAATGCTGGCTATAAAATTTTTATTCCCAGTATAAAAACCATAGTTTGTAAACAAGCATAACTATCACCCAAAGGATACACACAGAAGATTTTATATTTTTCAGAGTTATATCAATTTCTAAATTATTTAGAAACAAATCTATTTGATTTGTGAAAAGTTAGAATTTCTTGTGCAAAATATTGAAATGCAAAGAAAAGATTTTGAAAAACATTCACACAGTGACAAACAAGTTACAGACACAGGATATCAAAATGTTAAAATGTCAAAAAATCAAAACAAGAAAATAATCAAGATAGATTAACTTAATAGCCTTCCTACATTTGAAGCAAAGTACAGTTTTTAAAGAGGCATATTTGCCTCATTTTGAAATCACAAAATGGCATCCACACACCAAATAATTTGCAGAAATGGTTTGTTGGTTTACAGAGGTTTTTTAAAAAATCAGATTACAAAATCACATTTTATATTTTTAAAATCTAGTTTTTTTCTTTTTTTCTTAAAAAGCCAAGCTTACATTCTTACAGAGCAGCAGGAAGCTGGAGTTCAGTAATTTCTGTCCTCATCACATAAGGCTTTCTAGTTTGCCACCTGTTTTATTAACCTATTGTACTCATTTACATTGCTAGCCTGCCCCCTATGGTCAAGCGAGCTCATAACCCCTATCCACTGCCAGGTAAATTCAAGTAGTGAACTTGATCAATGGCAGAAGGGACTTTAAGACTGGACATCATTCAAGAGGTTCATTTGTTCACCTATTTATTCATTCACTCATTCATTTGTTCAACAAATATGTAGGTATTTGATAAGTGCCAGATGCTGGGTTCAAATATACTTGAGACTTATTTTCAGTGAAGTACTATGCAATCATACATCTGGAGGTGCTTACCAAGGTGTATGAAATAGAGTTGAAGACATAATATTAGCAAACCATAGGAAATGAAATAAATTCAAAGGGTGCCATAATTTAAATGGTCCCAAAGGATGGAGAATTTAAAGAAAGAAGAGGTAGTCAACAATGTAAAATCATGACTGAGAAGTGAAGTCCAATGAAGAAAAAAAAAAAAACACCATTTCATGAGCTAAGTAGCAAATCTCCGGTAACATTTAAGAGGGCACTTAGAGTAGACCAATAAAACCAGGTTCCATAGCAAGACAGTGAGAATAAGAGCATAAGAAAGAGATGTGAGTGAAATGAGGGTGAGGGGTGGATGTGAAGGGTAAGAGTGGGGCTGGATGCAGACAGGGAGATGAGTTGGGTATTTTTTGGGCTATGAAAGATGCCAAGTGAAGAGGACTGAATATATGCAAACAAAAGTCTTGGTACCAGAGTTCACAAGAATAACCATAATCTAGAAAGAATTCAATTTAGTTAAAGAACCATTAATTTAAATTTTGATATTAGAGCAAAATTTGGCAACTTTACCATGAGCTACATCCACGAGGTTACTTCTTGGGATGAATTCTAGGAAGGTATTTCACCATGAAAGTTTCTTTAATTGGCACCAACATTCAGTAACAATAAGCTACAAAAGAAAATCTGTTGATTCACCATTAAGCCTTATATTCTGGCATTCTATTTGTGACCTCAATGTTTATAAATATTTCTGGTTCTTTAGTTTTGTTGGAAATGACATTGTTTTCCACAGACATATTTAATCTTGGAACAATGAAATCAGGTGGCACCTTTCTATAAAATCTTCTACACATTTAATATTCAAAGGAAAGCAAGACTAAGGTACATATTGTATATTTATACCAGAAAGATAATGTTTATTTCACTCTTCTGTAGATCTACACCAAACATACTACTTCTTCCAACTTCGACATTGAAAAAATCTAATGGCAACTACATGTTCATCAGATAAGGATCAAATATTCAGTAAGAGAAAAAAGGAAAGTTGAGTGTAGTCAGTTCTGAATTTTCGTAAGGTAATATAGCCTGGGTAAGATGACTTATCAGGATATCTTTATTTCACTTATGAAGCTGTGAAATAAGAAAGGAAATAAAACCTGCCATCTGATTGTGCTGTAAAAAAAATAACTTCATAAGTTACTTCTTAGAAGTACTTTGAAGCAAAAGGCTCATAATGTAATTTTTTAAATGAAGGCACAATTTGAAATGAAAACAAAACTGTTACCATATGCTACTAATAAATTACGTCACATTGCTCTCCCTCCCTAGGAGATGCTCCTACACCTGAAGTTCCATAGAAAAATAAATGTTTATTGGTTGTTGCCAGCCATGGAAGCTGCTTGTGGCATGCCTGATCCAGCTGCAGCCTCACAAAGAGCTGGTGCTTGTGCCAGTACCTGCAGCTGCCCACTTCAGGCAGCAGCCAGTCTGTTTGCCTGCACAGTGGCTGGAACCCATGCTTGCTCACATGCCCCTCACCACTTCACATCTGACTTGCAGTCTCCCTTGGAGGTGTGGCAAATTGGTAGTGTGAACTGAATGCAGCCTGCCAGGCTGAGTGGGCACAATAAGCCCAGTGGGCCTAAGCAAAACTCAAGCAAAGGTGCCACCAGCCACAGGTTTCCAGCCAGAAAAGTGACACCCCAAAGATCCTATAACAACTGTTTGTACAAACATGTTTAGGGATTTCAAAAATTTCAACCAACCGTCTTATGATTCTGAGTGAAATCATTGCACAAAGTAAGTTTAGCAGAGACTTCCTCTCTTTGAAGTTGTTATAGAGGTTGCAATTAAGGACACAAACCTGAAATTTTTTCTAATTAATATAACGCTGGTTTATTAGAAATTAAGGAATTTCTTCCATAACCTATTCAAACAGATTCCAAGTCAAGCTGAAAATAAATAAAAATTTATTTATTATCAGTGGTCTATATTTGATATTAGGATAAGCACTAAATAAAAAGTCTATTGTGCTAGGAGCTCATAATTTCAGACAGGAATATATGTAGTACTCAACATGGGATCTACTTACCCCTGCAAGGCTTTCTCTCCAAACCAGTCTCCTTTTCCTAAAGTTCTAAGAAAGACTGGGTCCTCATTTGGTGAGTCTTCACGAGTGACATTTACCTACAAAGAGAAACAATGAAAGTTCAAATCCACTGCTTACCCACAATGATTAAAGCAACGCTAATTAATAAAGTTAATTCCATTTCTTGTTTCTTTTCCTTGTTTATATTTATAAAGAAGAGCACTATAAAGACCAAAGAACAATTATCAAAAATTCCCAGGAAAACCACAAGAGCTTACTTCCAAATACTTTGTTAGCCTTTCAAGTTATTTTAAAGAAATAATACATTACTTATTAATTTGAACTCACTCCTCATATCCATTCTAATTTTCCTACCTTTATGAAGCAACCACTATAACAAACTTACTGACCATTCTGTAGATCTTTGTTATGTTTATATACATGTATTTTTAAAAATATATTAGTAACATAAGTGGTATTCATCATTCTGCAACTTACTTTCTTCTCCTAATATTGTTTTAATTATTCCATGGTCTTAGATATAAATCTATTTCATTCATTTTCATGCATGAGTCTTAGTTCATCATATAAATATATTTCCTTACCCATATCTTGTAAATTGGCAACTATACTGTTTTCATTTTTTTTCTTTCTTTTTGCTGAAATGAACATCCTTCTACATGCCTCCACATTCATATCCTAGTTTCTCTATGATAAGCTTGTCCCTTTTCCTGAGAAGAAACCAGCTTTCATTTGAAGACACATCACATTTTCATAAAGATTGATTGCATGGCTCTGACTGACTATATCCCTAATAATACATATGTTTTATTTGGTAGGATTTCTATTTCTAAAGATACAGAAATTACATACATGCCCCTTATTACTATAATAAATAATATGTCCTTCAAAGAAAGTTGTCTTTCTTCAGCATTCTCCACAAATTATAATAAGCACTCAATAAGTAGTTGTAAATTGTTTTAAAAGAATGTGTCATTACTAACAAGACAGATAGCCTGGCACACACAGGACTTGTGACTTAAGTGATAGTCCACATAAGGCAAGTAATAATTTTTTGTTGTTGTTGCATGAATGAAAACAAAAACAGAGTAACTTGTACCTTTGTGTTAGTTCACTTTCCCCTCAAGCTCTACTAACATTCATAAAACTGTCTATGTGTCATCCAGAGAGGTTAAATAATTAAAATTCACCTACCTGGAAAATGTGATAAAGTAAAAAAACTAATTTCTTGAGACAATGCCAGACACTTAAACACATTTAATAACACTGTGCTTCAAGTTTCTGAATCTAGAGATTAGATGTTAGGAATTTTTATAAGTATTAAAAAGGTCTGCGCAAGGTGAAGGAAATTCAATTATTATTCTCCACTGATCCATTTGATTACTCCTCCACACAGTGTTTCAAAACCATGAAAATTCAGTTTTTAACACTTTTACTTACTACTAAGCTGTATCATAGAGACACTAATTTGCATGCTGATGAGGCTTTTTTAGATGTAAAAGGAATCTTCAGTAGGGAGTTTGATTTAAAATAAAGGTTACTGGGCCCATATTCTTGAGGTTCTCATTCACTCATGTTCATATAAATAGCTGAAATTTATTTTCTTTGTTTAAATGGTATTCCATTACATGTATTCATATGCAATTTACTAATTCTATATATATAAATGTGGGTTGCTTACAGTTTTATTTTTGTTTTACTTTGTTTTTATCATGCTATTAACAGTGTTACTGTGAACATTCTTATGCATGTGCTCTGGTGTCCATGGATAAGAGTTCACTAGGGTCAACATTTACAAATAAAGAACAAGGTTATTAAATACACGCATCTTCAATTTTACTAGGTATCAACTCACTCATGGCACAGTCTTACATTCCTACCATCAGTGGATTAATATTGTCAGACTTTGATTTTTTTTCCAAAAAGGCAGGTATTAGATGTCATTTCCCTTATTATTAATAGACGTGGAACATTTTATCATCTTATTTTTTGAGACACTTGTGCTTCTTTTGATGATGTGTCTGATTATGTTTTTTGTCCATTTTTCTATTGGACTGATCATCTTTATTTTTGTTGTTGATTCACAAGACTACAGTTTGTCTAAACAATCTTTACGGTGTCTTGTTAAACAACTTTATTAATTTTAATGTAATTACATTTAACCATGTTATGTTTTGTTGTTTGCACTTTAAAATATCTTATTCAAGAAATCCTTTCCTATCCCAAGATAATAAAAATATTCTCCCAATTATCTTTTAATTTTTTTCCTAATTTTTCTTTTCACATTTTATCTGAAACTTGCATTATGTATGGTGTAATTAGGGATCCAAGTTTATTTATGTCCCTATGCATAAAAAATTATTGTGATATCTGTAGTGCCCATGACATCCTAAATCAAATTTCCATATTAACATGGATCTTTATCTGGACTTACCATCTTATTCTGACATATTTGTCTGGTTCTCAGTCAAATTAAAGCCACATTTTTGCCCACTACCTGAACCTTACAATAAGCTTAATATCTACTGTAGTAACTCCCAGTATGTTTCTCTTTCTTTCAGATGTCCTGCCATGTTGGTGTTTTGCTCTCCATTATATTATTTTAAATATAATTTTCTTCTTAAAAGACTTGAGCATTTTCTTGTTATAGATATGCCTAGATACTTGATTTTTGAAATGGCATTTAAAAAATATTTTAATTACGTGTTATAGTACTTAGAAATGTATATGAATTTTTTAAGTTATCATATAGTAAAATTTACGTTTTTTCTTTTTCAGAATCTAGTTGTATGAACTTAAATACATGGATAGCTTTGTCTAATTCACAGCAGATACAGATAGATTAGATACAGAACAATTTCATCATCTCCAGAAAATCCTTCATGCAGTGTTATAGTCATATCCTTCTCAATTCCTCACCCCATAGTCTGTTCTGCATCAAACTAATTTTTCTTTTTGAGAATGCCATATAAGTAGAATAATAAAATATTTAACCTTTTCAGTCTTTTTTTTCCTTTTGAAAAATTAATTTTATTGTAAATTGTAAGTTGTGCAACATGCTGCTATAAGATACATACATATAGTAAAATGATTATTATAGTGGAATAGATTAACATATCCATCATGTTACAGTTTCCTATTTTCCTCTTTGTGGCAAGAACAGCTGTAATCTACTCTTTTAGTAAAAATTCCTAATCCAATACACTGTTATTTACTATAGCCCCATATTGGACATTAGATATTTTGACTTGTTTGTCCTACATGTTTGCTGCTTTGTGTCTTTGACCTACATCTCCCCATTTCCTTTTCCCACCCTAACCCTTGTAATCTCTATTGACTTGTGTGTGTGTCTGTGTGTGTGTGTGTGTATTTGGCCTTTTAAAAATATTTGACATATATGTGGGACTGTGCAATATTTGTCTTTCTGTGTCTGGCTTATTTCATTCAGTATAATGACCTCCAGGTCCGCCCATGTTGCGGCAAATGGCAGGATCTCCTTTTTTTTATGCTACATTATTTATATTACTAAGCACAAATTGCTTTCCAGGCTATTAACTTATACAAAATAAATTACTGAGATTCGATTACAGCAAGTTTTTATTTTTTCACAAATTTATAAGAATTGCTTTTCTAAATCACAAAACTGATATATGCTCATAATTAAAAGAAATTGAGCAAAAGACATGTTTATGTGAAAAAAGAAATGATCCTGTATCTACCTCCCTCACTTTGCTGACGTATCCTTTGTTAATGGTGTGGAGCATATTCAACAGATGATTTTTTTCCATATAAAGAAAATGTTCATGAGAATAAATTAATGCGGAAATATGTATGTAAAAAATACATAAACATGTACAATACATATGAATATGTGTTATGAGATGAATGTTTCTATCCTCCCCAACTTATACATTGAAGCCCTAGCTTCCAAGTTGATAGTATTTGGAGGTGGGGCCTTTTGGCATAATTAAGTTTAGATTCAACCATGAGAGTGAAACCTTCATGATGAGATTGATGCCCTTATAAGCAGAGGAAGAGAGAGAGATCTCTTTTTCCCTTCACAAGTATGCATAAAGGATCATGTGAGCAAACAGCAAGAATATGCCTGTCTACAAGCCATGAAGAGAGCCCTCACTAGATGCTGAATCTGCTGACACTTAGTCTTGGACTTCTCAGCTCCAGAACTATCAGATATAAATGTCTGTTGTTTAAGTCGCCCACTCTGTAGCATTATGTTATAACAGCCTGAACAAACAGCATGTATATACACATATTGTTCATGAAAATGAAATGACTGCAAACCTTATCAAGAAATTTACCATTCTTAGCTGAGAATAAAGGTACTTGGGCTTTTGTTTGTGTGTTCATTGCTGTTGGATATCTTCTCATAAGTTTAATTGAATTCCTCTAATTTTCTATGAGATTTTAAATTTTCATTTGTTTCTCTTCTGGTTAAAGAGAGTTCCTGGCATATAAAGTGGTTTCTAAGGTATATGTGGATAATTTCCCCTTCAATTTTTTTTAAATTTTTTATTGCATTTTAGGTTTTGGGGTACATGTGCAGAACACGCAAGACAGTAGCATAGGTACACACATGGCAGTGTGTTTTGCTTCCTTTCTCCCCTTCACCCACATTTGGCATTTCTCCCCAGGCAATCCCTCCCCAGCTCCCCCGCATCTGCTAGCCCTCCCCTTTTCCCCCCAATAGACCCCAGTGTTTAGCACTCCCCTCCCTGTGTCCATGTGTTCTCATTTTTCATCACCCACCTATGAGTGAGAATATGTGGTATTTCATTTTCTGTTCTTGTGTCAATTTGCTGAGAATGATGTTCTCCAGATTCATCCATGTACCTACAAATGACACGAACTCATCATTTCTGATTGCTGCATAATATTCCATGGTGTATATGTGCCACAATGTCCCAATCTAGTCTATCATCAATGGGCATTTGGGTTGATTCCAAGTCTTTCCTATTGTAAACAGTGCTGCAATGAACATTTGTGTGCATGTGTCCTTATAGTAGAACGATTTATAGTCCTTTGGATATATACCCAGTAATGGGATTGCTGGGTCAAA